TCCGTTGGTTCTGGGAAGCGTGGTCCCAACCTTTGTTTGTAGCTGCAGTTCTTCGTCGTCACAAATCAGATATTGTAGCTCGCTCGAACATTATGTTGTGACGTGGTGCACACGGCATGAAGCTTGAGATTGATTTGGAAGCTAGGTCATTCCACCTTTGAACACGATCCTTGGCCGCGTCTTAATTTGCAACTCACCGCTGAAACCACAGGCAATGTTTCATAAATTTCTTGTCGATTCGCCCTTGCTCGCTGGCAACCAGGCCAAATTGCACCTCCTGAAGGTGGGGTGTTGTGGGGGATGCGGTTTCGGGGCCTGGTAACACGGATTCGAGATTTTGCTTGTCAGGAAATGGTGATTCCGTAAGCATGCCTAGTAACCATTCAGCGGCCTTCCGGGCACATGGCAGGAACATCCCGGAAACGAAATACTTGGCGGATTGGTAGCTTTCCATTCACACCGGTTTCAGGATACGGAATCACTGTGGTTCCCGCATGTTTTGTTCGTAACCAGGCCTAAGGGAGCATTCCTCTTCGACGCCTCGCACAGTGGAAGATCACACGTGTGTGTGTGTGTCTCGCTTACCTATACACATACTTTTTCGAACGTCAGGGACATCCTCAGAAAACTCTGAACCCTGTAGTATCTACACAATTCGTTTCAGTATCTCCTGTTATTGTGCCTCATGTTAATCGATCCTGGCACTCAGTTGACACCAGCCTTTCCAAAACCTACAAACCAAGTATTTGGTTTGTTGTTACCGTTGTTCTTTCATACAGGAGCGCGGCCCCAGAATTCCTGTAAGTTAAACACGAAATCTTTAAATCCGTAAGTCCCGAATGGAACAAAAGCCGACCAGAACTAAGGATCTAGCATAGGGGTCCGAGTGGTATACTATGATATGAAAGCGCGGGGGGAGGAAACGGAGTGTAGACTTCCGGATTCTGGTGGTGACTTTCGGCTGTGGAGAGCTGACCGGGCCCACCCCAACACCGTAAACAGGGTTTGGCATTCCACTTCTGTTTTGAAGGCTCCGGCTGCTTGTTGGGCCTCAATATTGAGGTCTGAAATTTCCAAGCCGCCGACCCCGTGGGCGACAGACCAGAAGCCGAATGCACTTGTACAGGCAAAGTCGTTTGGTGTCCGCGAGGCCCGGAAGTTTAGTTCTAGACATGCAACCTTGGTAATTAAACTTCCTGATCCTAGACTCTGAACCCGCGCAAAAAAAACATCAACCCGAACAACAGTCCTTACTCTGAGACTTATATGCCTAAATCCTGAATCCTAAACTCTAGTTCTTCGCGACTCAGTCCCCGGTCCATTTGACACCCGTCTCTTTCCAACGGATCCCATAAACCCCCGTGAAGCCCAATTTACAAAAAGAAAGTCACTGCCACTTCAAGACCCTGCACTGCACGTTAGCCTTGCTTCTCCTGAACCCTAAACCGAACACCCTACAACCCTCAACCCTTAATCCTAATGCTCAACCCTCCACCTTGAACCCTAAACGCTAATGCCCATGTTGCAAACCCGCAAGCCTCTAAAGCATGCGGCGGCTTGCGAGCTGAGCATCTTTTGGGTTCGAGTTTGGGAGGCGGGCAGGGAGGGAGGGGGGGGAGGCGGAGGGGAGGGGAGGGCGGGGGGAGGGGTGGAGAGGGGGGGGGGGGAGGGTGGGTTTTGGAGGCAGGAAAAAGGAGAAAAAAATTGGTGGTTTCCTACAGTGAACTGATTTGAACCCAATGGGCTGTGGTGTGATGCTTTTGGGGGCTTGGGTGCTGCTTGCAAACAGCCATGGGGTACCCCCCCTCCCCTGGGTGTTGCGGGATTTTGGTAAAAGGGAGGTTAACACCTCCAAGCCCATCCAACACGCCGCCAGCGTCGGCGGATTAGGTAGGCTCAAGGATCTCTTACTAAACCACAAAACCTAAACTCCAATTTGCGAGCTGAGACCCTGGTTTGGGGATCTGCAGGCTTCGGGATTGAGACCTTCCAATGACAGTTTGACTTACATGATTGTGCAATCCCAGCTGCCTGAAGCATTGTGGAGGTTATGGCTACTTACACGTTAAGACTAAGAAGCTGTAACTCCAACATTCCGTGCTCTCCTGATTTTGCAGTCCACGCGGCGGCAGCAGCCGAAGCTTGGCATGGTTTAGAGTTCAGGGGAAGCCTCAAAGAGCCCAACATCCCGCCAATTGCCGTAAATCATCAGATTAAGTTAAGCCCCCTTAAGTAAAGAACATATTTTACGTCTGAGTCAGAATATCCAGCCCCTGATGGTTTAAATCTTCTTCTTGAATTCCAGAGGGTTGTGGGTTCTCTGTGCTCGTTTGGGCGCCGAGGGTCCAGCTGCAGACTTTAGGCCTCAGGTTCTTGCGAATTCTTTCTCGCCGTAAAACATGCAAACGCTATACGCCCTATCCATCCTGTAAACCCCATTAGGCCTCATAAAGCCCTAAATCACGAACACGAGTGTTGAAGCAGGCCGGTCGCCCGGTGTACCGGCGAGTTCAAAGGGTGTATATTGAGCAGCAACATGTCGGATACCCCAAACACTATTCTAAGTGTTGAGGCGTCTATATTAAGCCCTCAAACATCTCTAGTCGATTGCGCCGTTCCCTAAAGAAGAACCAGTTAAATGCTGCGGCTTCCAAGAGTATACCTTAGTTCCAAGCTGACATGGTGGCTGACGAGGTCGAACCCGATTCTGTTGGGGTCTCGCGTGTGCGGGCCTTGGGGCTGAAAGTTACATGGTAGGATTGAGCGAGTAGGGTAGGGTTTTCGGGTTTGTTTTTTTTTGTGCCTGTATGTAAGTTTTCTTTGTGCGTTTGTAGGCAATAGGCTGACAGGGGTCGATGGTCCTCTTCCACGCTTCCTCTTCCACGAACTCGACACCACTGCCACCCACCGGCATGCCATCTTCACCCTCAGACTCGGCCACAATGCTAGTAGGACTGTGGAGAACGATGATTTTAACCTCCATAACACCCCCGGATTCACCATCGCCCTCGGACGCTACCACAGTGACGGGCACTTGAGCCAAAACGGCTCGAGCCGTAGCAATTTAGGTTTTTGGGTTTAGGGCTTGAAAGCTGGAGGGGCCTCAAACGTTCAGGTTTTAAGGGCTTCGGCTGACGGGGCTGATCATGAATGGTCTAGGGATTCAGGTTTAGGGATTCGGGCTTTAAGGCCTGTCGAGGATGATAGTAGGGCAAAAGTAGTACTGTAGTGGTATTGCAGTAGTATCATTGTTGTATTATGTAGTATTAGAGTAGTAGCCAGAAAGTTGGAATATCATTCTCCTCATGCCCTTAAGGCAAAGTCGAAGAGATCCTAGCACTAATCCTCCTAAAGCCATGTTCCAACTTTCTGGCTTCTACTGTATAGTCCTGTTAATCACAAGGCCAATATTGGCTCCCTTCCGCCCTTGAAAGCCAGCAAGCACCACCATCCTTCTTCAGGATTCTGCTCGTCATCAGCATCCTCGTCACCACCAGTCACGAGCATCAAAAGTCAACATGTTTGTCACTGCTATCATGTCGGTCACAATCACGTTCGCTACTGCTGCTACCACCCCCTGGAGATTTCACCCTCGGCATTTCCTTTGCCAGCACCTTCAAAAGCACATCCTGCCAATAGGTCGCTTCCGCCTCATCCAAAATCTTGAACCCATCCAAAATCCTGAACCCCAAACCGCTCCAAACCTCAGCCCTACAGCATTGTAACTATGCCGGGATGCGCCATCCAAGTTCTGATGAACCTCACTCCAGTGTGCCTGGGCACCGCAAGGCGCAGGACTCCAGCATACATGTTGCCTGTAGATTTCTCTCCCTAAGTCGGGATACGACTTACGTTTCCTGTGTTCAGAGGGCTGGTTCCTGTGATTCAAAGCCATTGAAAACAGTAATTTACAACAGCAATAACAAGAATTAAAGGACCGGATAACCCCACATGTGAAGATCATCCATTCGTATAGAACACAAAGGTGCAGAAGAGTAAATGAGTGAGGGAGTAAATGAGTGTGTGAGTGAACGAATGAGTGAGTGCTGAGTGCGTGCGTGGGTGTAGGGTGTATGATGTGTGCATGTGTGGTGTGCGAGTGTAGAGAGAGAGTGTGTGTGAGTGTGTGTGTGTGTGGGTGTGTGAGTGTGAGTGTGTGAGTGTGTGAGTGTGTGAGTGTGTGAGTGTGTGAGTGATTGTGAGTGTGTGAGTGTGCGTCTGGGTGTCTGCGTGTCTGTGTGTCTGTGTGTCTGTGTGTCTGCATGTCTGTGTGTCTGTGTGTCTTTGTGTCTTTGTGTCTGTGTGTCTGTGTGTCTGCGTGTCTGCGAGTCTGCGTGTCTGTGTGTCTGTGTGTCTGTGTGTCTATGTGTGTCTGTGTCTGTGTGTGTCTGTGTGTGTCTGTGTGTGTGTGTGTCTCTGTGTGTCTGTGTGTCTGTGTGTCTGTGTGTGTCCTGTGTGTTGCATCCCCCGAAGAAACGGAATATCTCGCACGAGGGCGCAGTCACGATGAGTGGGCCGCGGCTTATGGGGAGGAAACACCTGCTATAATCACACCGCGGAATCCTTCGACAGCACCCATGGCACAGAGTCCTAACATTACATCTCCGCCGTTGAAGCATGCCAGGACATCGGCGTCTTCAGGTTCACAGGCCAATGACGATGCTGATGAGGAGGCCGCCAGGAACATGGAATTGTTCGAGTGAGTGTAGTCTCGATGGCGGCATCTTCGTCCGTTTCGAACATGGGCCAACGACTTGGGCAACCGATGCTACATCTTGCACCCCGACTTCTGATTCCGCTAGGCGGAGTAATTCTAGCTAGGGTTCCCGATTTTGGCATGAAATCCCATCGCCGCTATGATGTTTGAAAACAATCCCGGATCACATCTTTCTCCACAGCAGCTGTCTGAGAATGCTGCATCACTCTCTCGGACCAAATGCTTAATGCTTTACTCAAAGGTTTTGATCGCGACGGGCTAGCCCCACCTTTACGCTCCAGCTATGTCGAATCCCCGCACAAGCTACCAGGAGTACACCTTCCCTCGAGATGTTTGTCCAGTTTGTGAAAAGGCAAGTCTTTACTCCTCGCAGAACGAGGTTTGCGAGGCCATCGTCATTGGTTCTGAGGAGCTTACCAACGTGGGCTTACTTCGAAAACGACGCTGGTCGTGCAACAACACAATGAGACACAACCTCTTGATTCTGGGCAAGGAGAATATCAACTGCATGAGTTTCCAGGAAATGGAGCAATCGGGTGCTCTCTTCATCACCGCCAAGACTGGCTTTTCCATGAAGTACTTGCAGCTCACTTTCCTTAGATTGATGCGAGCAAAGGCAGCGCCCGGACAAGAGGCGGCCGTGCTTGGCATCTTTCACAAGGATGATGACCGGATGTTCTGGCGTCAGCAAACGACAACGGACCATCTACTACATGCCCTGGAGGCGTTTGCAATTGCCAAGTCCAAACCCAGCGAGGTTTTGCAGTTCAACCTGAATTACCCGGCCAAGCATATGAACTTGTTGCGGAAGGACATCATCTTCGAACCTCCCGAGTCCGTCACCGCCCTTGCCTTCGACGGCCACTTCGGAATACATCGTGCGCTATGTGATGGTGTTGAAGCTCCATGCACCGTTCGCAAGAAAGGTCATCCTCGAAAGCTACCCCAGGAGCATCAGCGATCCTGCTCTTGCAAGGCCAAGGACGTCCAAAGGCTCGCTCTTCCGCAGAGAACTGCTGGTTGGCAATTCGTTCTCGATCCAGACAGTCGTCGGGTCCTTGCCGCTGGCGAACATCTTCAAAACGAAACGAACGAGGACAAGGCCAGCTTGGTCGAGAAGGTTCTCAAGCTCCCAGGGATGAAGGTCGACTTGCTCCTCCACGATGATGCCTGCCACTTCGAAAAGTATGTCAAAAGGAACAATCTTGAGGCCTTCAGTAGTGTTAAGCATTATGTGGTAGATGCTTTTCACGCTCCCAACCACAAGTGCTCCAAACGGTACTGGACCGGAGCTGTGAAGAAACGGTGCGCCAAGGTGCGCGCCAATATTCCTGAGGTCTTTAATGCCTGGATTCGCAGCCTGAACTTTTTCTTCAATGGCTTAAGACCGCACTCGCACAAGTTCTGGGTTGCCGAGGCATGTAAGTTTTACAACAACAATCTGCAGGATGTGCCACTCAAGATTGGCCGCCGCAAAAATGTTGTTGCTCGCAAATCCGTGCACAAGCGTCCAGGCGCCAAGGCTCAGAAGAAGCCAGCTGCGGTCGCCAAGACCCAGAGGAAGCCGGCTGCGGCTAGGTTGTAACCCGAAATCTGCACCGAAGCACGTACTGGATAGGTCAAAACAACTTCGACGCATCTGCTGCCATCTGCTCGTTCACCCAAGGCTATAACAGAACAAAAAACAACTTGTTTGCTTTGGCGACACACACTCCGAGCTCCTCATTCTCCATCTCACGCAACACATTCAAGTTAACAAAAACACTCCACCTCACAACAGTCCCCTCTCTAGTAGTAATATTAACAATAATAACAACACTAATAATAATACATAATAATAATAATAACTTGTGGTTGCATCAGTCTTGTTCTGGTTATGTGCTTCTGTTTTGTGAATCTTAGCATTCCCATCCATATTATTATTACGGCCAGTAGTATTACTACCATAAATGCTGCTCCTGTTGTTAATAGTGTTAGTAGTATTCTTGGGCGTCGAACTCCCGGCATCACCTCGTGTTTGAGCTTTATAAAACCTTGAACCCTAAACCCACTTTCCAGTTTCCGCAACTCCCAGTGGTTCAAGGCGCAAGTGAACCCTAAACCCTGGCAGAACCCTTTTGAAGGAACCCTAACTTCAAGCCTAAAGTCCCTGAAACGAAGCACGAGCGAGATGTCCAAACTTTCTTTTCCGATCTGCGAACTGGGCTTTGGTACATTGTCCTTTTCAGCTTAAAGCTTCAACCCTAAACCCTAAAATCCTTAAACCCGAATCCCTTTGAACCCTAAACCCGAAAGGTTAGTTTACTAAGTGCCGTGATGTCAGCTATCCATCAGTCTCGCTGTCGTCATTGGATTGTCCGTTTTGGCGGTGGCGTATCGCATGACCCGTACGACCACACGGGTCGCAAGTAATTACTGCACTTTACTTGTCATTTGTGGGACTGTCGCCTGAGACGTTGCCTGGCTTGTCCGAGTCTCAGTGTCAAGCTCCGAGCCTGAACATTCACAAGCCTTTAGCTGTAGAAGTTCAGCCTAACCTTCTAACAGCACGACTTTACCCGAATACTCAGCTGCAAAACCCTCGGCTGCCCTATAGCAGTAAAGCACTTGCTTGCATGACAGGTCACAGGTCGTGCATGCTTGTGCAGCCTGATCCGACGTATGCTAGTGCCACGTGGTTGGAAAACGACGCCAGGAGCTGCTTGGAGTTTGGTTTTTGTTGAGCTTCGCAATTTAATGTCTTTGTTGGGTTGCTTTACGGTTTTGGGGTTGTGGATGGCCCGACCCCTCGTGTGACATGATTTACGCATACTTTGGTTTTTGTGTTTTGTGCGATCCCTCGGTGCATGTGTAGTTTAGATCAGCTGTTTACACTTGCTTTGTGATGCTGGTTGCAGGTACCCCTACTTACGGGCATGGTTGCCAGCGCAGCCTGCTCATTTTCTGAAAGCGTCGTTGAAGATGGGTGCTCAGGGTAGGATCGTTCGATTTCTTGGGATAATCAGCGGCTGCTCCACGTTCAGAAGCTTTGCCTGGAGAATCCTGGAGCTTTAGTTGAGGATCATGTATGTACACATTACAAGCAGTCTGCTATGCATTTCGACATTCACTTTTTTGTTGCTTGGAGGGGCGAGGCAATTCCGCATGTTGGACAGTGTAGGGTGCTTGAAACGCTGATTTCGAAGCCTCAATGCAATGGAAGGGTCCAGGTCAGAGTGCCCTTCTCTGGGGTGCAGAGGGCAACAAAGGGCTGGCTTGTGCGCACATCGATGGGCAACCCGATCAATCTCAAGGTTGCTGGGCTGACTATGTCCCACAAATGTTTTCACAGTGCCAGACCTGTGATGAGAAGGGGACGATGTATGGCAGTACAGCGAGCCTGAACTTTTTGATGGTGTGCATTTAGTCAGAAGTAGCGAGCAACAGTCAGGCCGATCGTTGCATGCAGAAATACGCGCTCAAGTGCAATCGTGCAGACCTCGGTTCAAGAGGCCACGATGACGAAACCTAAAAACCCCTAAGAACCTAAGCCTCGTAAACCACCCGGTACCTACAAACCAAAGATGCGCCGCTAACCTCCCAGACTCTGAAGCCCTGAACCGCCACGTATTATACCCGCCACCGTGGAAGCGAGTCTTAACTCCATGCTTTTGAGACAGTTTTCCCCAACAGGGGGCTTTATACTCTAAGCCCAAAACCCTGCACCTAAACCCTAAACCTTATACCGTAAACCCTAAGCCGACATTGACCACAAAAAAATCGAGCGCTGGTCTGATGGCATTCCAGCCTGGGCATGGCGGGCCCAGCACTTCCAGAAGAGCAGATGCCCAGTTGCATTTCTGTTAGGGTTTAGGGTTTAGGACTCCAAAACCGTTAAGGAAGGAAGATACTCTTCTCTTATCGGGGTGCCTGTTGTAATTTAGGGGGTATTCCTTAATCAAGGGGCTTTGGAGTCTCTGGGTTTCTATTCATTCGGGCTCCTTGTCATGGTATCCCCGAGAACTCGATTCCAATTATTCAACTATTAAGGCCCCTATACCATGTAGGTTCTTCAGTGATTATTGTTTTAACATCTTTCGCTCTGGGTTCCTGGCAAGGTCCGAGTATATCATAAGCAAACCCAAAAGTTGTTGGTATCTTTTGTTTATAAAACTACACCCAAAAAGCATCTACTTTCTCCTGCCGGGTTACTCAACAACCTAGATTCCGGGATCCGCGACTTTGGGATGTGGGGCTTAGGGCTTAAAGTTCTGGTATTTAGGGTTACAGGGCTTTGGGGTTTAGGGCTTTTGCCATAGACAAACACGTGCATGTTTACATTCGTCTTCTGTCTATTCTACTTGTATCTTCTAATGTTCGGAACGGTCCTTGTGCACTTGTAGTCGTGGTCTCACAGATCTTGCAAATACTGGTCTGATTTTGTGGGACCTTGTGAGCCTCAGCCCAACACCCCTAGATCCGAAGCACACCCTCAATGCCGAAATCCCAAGCCCTCTACGCCCATACCCCACAAGCCTTGACACCTAAAGCCTAAAACACCTAGACCCTGCATGTATGAAACACCAATCCTAAGTCCTATAAGCGCGCACAGGGTTAACCCCGAGACTCCCGATAAACCATCCAAATCCTTCATTAGCCTACAACTGGAAATCAAGTTTCTCCAATCCTCAAACTCGCATTGACCGTCATATACCGGAAAGTCGATCCTCATTTCCCCAGCCTTCGAGAAATCCAAGGCTCCATGACGTCTTTCCCAGCTTCAAGAGCGATCCGGAGGCCGCCCAGCACTGGCTGGCCCTGCCTGAAGCGAGGGCCCGAGATGGCTGGGTTCCTTTAACAAAGGGAGTTTAGGGGCTCCCTTAAGGGATCTGCAAGGGTTCCCTTTAAAGGGGATTATAGTGGATCTATGGGGTCTTTTGAATAGAAGTATAGGGGTTTTTCCTGGGATCTACGAGGAAGGAAACGGGGATCGATGGGTTCCTCTAAGGGAGAAGTATAGGGGTTAATGGTCTCCATATGCGCGGGGGGGGGGGGGGGGGGGGGGGGGGGGGGGGGGGGGGGGGGGGGGGTTGAGGGTGTAGGGTTTGTGGTGGTTGACTAAGTAGAGAGCTGGTGTTTTGGTATTGCGGGCTTCAGAGTTTTAAGACGTGCGTTTCAGAGCTTAGGCTTTCACGTTTCGGGTTTTGGTTTTTTGAATGTCTCAGAATTTCGTGTCTTTCGGGTTTCGGGGCTAGGCTATTGTTGCTAAAAGCTAGGATGTCAAAAACTCGAGAAGCCTCAACTTTTCTGAACTGGTTAGCTGGCGCCAGCGACGTAAGCTACTGGCATTTTCCATGCGACTTTGACGATGCTCCAGCGGAATGCAACAAACATGGACCCCAATCCAGCCTTGAGGCAGTAGGATCCTGCGTACAAGGATCCCTCAACAAGGTATCCAATACAGGGGCCTTCATAATTCCCAATACTGTTGCGGGGGTTTCCTAATTATAGCTCTACTCGAGTGGGCCCCAAAGCCCTATTCTAATTCTACAGGCCCCTATATTAACCCCCAAGTTTGAGACTCCTTCACGTCGCGTCGAAAAGATGCCAACAGAAGAAGCTTCAAGTTTCTCCTTCCTCTCAGTACCAATACTATTTGGCGGATGTACGTTGAATCATACATGTAGGGAATCCTACTAAAAGTTGGGGCATATTCCTCAATTAAGGGCGATTGGAAGGTCTGGGTATGCTCCACCGTCTTATTCTGATTATTGAGGCCCCCTACAGTAGTGGTTTCTGCTGGGGAAGAAAGGGCCTTTACAGTAGAGCCCTGCGCCCCTCGTTTTGGAATACACATTCTCGCAAGTTTAAGGTCCCCTCTCTCTCTCTCTCTCTCTCTCTCTCTCTCTCTCTCTTTTCAGGGATGCAACGTATCATCCGCGATGTATCAGTGTTACATGTCAGATCGACAAGATAGACAGGTAGATAGGGAGACACAAGAACATTAACGGTAAATTTTGTTTCGTATGTACGTATATATATATATATATACATATATATATATATATATATAGTGTATAGTGTATTTGCACTGCATCTGATTTCCGAGCTTCGCTGCAAAGACTTCCCCGGCTACTTCCGAGGATGACCAGTGGCAGCGCCTCCACGCGAGCAACAACATCAGATTGGAGCCGGCTCACAAGGACTTTTGGGATTCTGTGGTTGAGGGCTCCACCAGACTTGAAGCATCGCCTGCCCATAAAGATACGAGGGATTACGATGTCCCCATAGTTTGTACATTGCAGGCCTCGGAGGAACTAACCAGTAACCTTTATCCGCGTATACAAGTAAACGGCAGTATGCCCCAAAACCCTATCATAATCGTTGAGGACCTTCTCTAGGGAAATGCATACATGCTTTTAGACCTCCCCTTCCTAGTCCTTACATAACTGCACTTTGACCTTGAACCCCAACCCTCGTGCCACCGGGATATTGTTTGACGGACTGTGGCGCAAGCCGAGTCCTTCCTTCAACCTTTCGGTGACCGGGGGAAAGAGAACATGCCGACTGATCACTCCTGATCCTGGCTTTCAAAGAGTTTGGGGC